CATAATAAAACTCAAGGATATATAGAAAGAGGATAATGTTTAAGAAGTGTCATACCTATCTTTTAGAAACATTAGATTGGTAGGCTGGAAGATTTATCGTTCGTACCAATCAAAAGGTAGGACCAATGTGCAGTCTGAAGAAAAAAGGACTATAGCTCAACCTTTCAAGATGATAGTACTCTGGGGAAAACAGCATAATATTTATCAAATCCAATAAAGCATAAGCCGGACATGTCAAGACTTTCTTTTCTATAATAGAACTGTTGTAATATCAAAGAAGGACAGGTTATTGGATGACGGGCCCCTCCTCCTCAGTGCTTATACAGCCTAAGGGAAGATACCTTGATAGTATCATCGAGCTACTTCTCCACTATATCCTAGAACCCCCTCGCAACTCCTGATTTATTATCACCTGGAAGAACATCGATAGAGGTTCTATATTAGATAGGGTAAGATGGAAATCAAAAGAAAGGACCAGAGCTGGAAGACAAGAAACTATAACATGGCTGTACTGAAAGTATCTGAAGAAGAGGCATTGTGACCTAAACTAATGAAGTCCTCGAAGAGTAACCAGCCAATGGTACAAAAATAATAGTAGTAGTGTAGTTTTCAAATCACTCCATATCAAGACCAACTCCCCTTTTCCGCTAGTGCCTTCTTAGTTGTATGCAAAGTCTTCTCTTCTATTTAATTTTGTATAGTCTTTGTTTGTCATTATAGAATAGCTTGAAAGATAGTATTATAGTAATTGGATAGATATCTTTATTATCAGATTTAAATCTGAGGAACACATTGATTTGATTACAAACAACATAGATTCTTTCTTAATTTTTTTATACTAGTAGACCCCTTTACTAGCCCTTTTGTTTTTAAGAAAGGGTGGTACTGCCACGAGATAGGTTTTTTCTTATCGAAGTTTTACTTGAAAAATAGCAATAGCTTATCTACATTGTATATATATAATATCTACTATATTCAAATAAAATATGACTGTGCTAGCATATAAAAAAAAAAATATATATATATATATAATTATTGATATACACAAATCTTTTTGCCTCTTTTTTTTTTCTTACCTTTCCTAGAAGATTAAACATCAGTAGTACTTTGAGTATGCTGATCTCTTGGAATTGTACTTGACAAATAACAGAATTTTCATTAATATATTTTGTTGTAATATAATAGTTAAGTTTGTAATTTGTTTAGAGTATAGCCTTTTTAAATAAATATATCTTTCTATTTTATTTCAATAAAATGAGTTGTTCTTTTTTTTTTTTATCTTTTTGTCAAACTAGTTATGTATACTTTATTAAACATTTGTAAACTATATATATAATATGAATCACTAAAGCTAAAAAATGTTAGCTAACTTATTTATCTTTATAATTATTACTTTAAGTGCAACTTTGGAAGTGATTTATTGCTTTATTAGGAGTTCAGAAAATGGTTTGTCCTGTTTTTTATAGAAAAAAATAAATAAATATATATATATATTTCATAAAAATATTGAAATCAATAAGATATTAATTTAATAACAAAGTCTTAAAAAAACTCTTTCTGTTAATCTTTTGACCATACACAAAAAAGATGTTTACAAGAAGTTTTATATTTTCTTATTAATAAAGTCTTTATACTTTCATTAAAACAATTTGAAACTTGTTTTCACATATCTTTTCTATCCTTCCTTACTTGTCCATAAACTTCTTTAAATAAAAACTTGGATCTTTAGTGATCTAAAAAGACTCAAATATATATTTTTTCTACTAAGGACAATAAGATTCTAGAAAGTAAAAAGACTAACAAGTGGAATGTCACCTTACAAAGTTAGAAATGACAAGAAATAGAGATTTTGTTGATAGTAAAAAACTTATTATCCACTTTCTTATATACTGTCTCTGTACTTTTTTAAAGTATCTACTGTTTTTCATGATTTTCTTGAGAAATTTTACCTACAATAGTTTAACCCTGAAATTTTAGTAACATAATATCATCTGACATTTGATTGATTAACATGAAACATATTAGTAATTGAATATAAACAAGCCTTTATTGATTATTTCATGTATTCTGATAACATTATTGGTAATAAAAGAGTTGATTGGTGCCTCACGTTTATCCTACTTCTCTAATTGGGTTAATCTACATATCAAGTTTCATAAGATCAATATAATACAAGCAACAAGTTTTTAAGTAGTGAAAAAGCTACTATTTGTTCAAACTGAGTTCTTTTTCTTCTATTATCCCAGTCTGGCAAAGTTCAAGACCAAGGTCTCTTTTTTATTCCAATTAAATAATAAAATTGAATGGTTTCTAATCTATATTAAGTTCCAATCCTTTGGTTACAGTTGAGAATACATTTTCTCAAAAGTTGTTAAAAGATATTGAAATTAATGAGAATTTCTATTACTTTTGAGACCATCCCATCATTACAAAACAAAAGGATTATTGGAGAATCTGGTCTTTTGAGTAATGGAAGATATATATCAATAAAATTCCTTTAATTAGACATTGTTGCTTGAAGGTATTATACTGAAATAATATAATTTAGTTCTTACTAGATTATATAAGAATCTGGAATCTATCATAAGTTGCCTCCCTATTATAGATGAATAAAAAATCATTGTTCAAATAAGATTGAAATCAAGTATATCCTGGAAGTAAAGACTCTATTAGGTGATAAGTCTCCTCAGATAATACACAAAAAGGAAATCAAGATCAAGAATAAATAAGTTTCTCAGATAGTCAAGAAAAGAAATAATATCCCAATTAAGTATTTCTTATCAAAAAGAGGTTTTGAGAAGTAGTTTGGAGAAAGCTGAAAATATTTTTTTTCAATTTTTATCTTATTATTTTTTTGTTGTCTATTTAAATATTTTTATATATTCCTCTTCTCTTTTTTTTAACCTATCTTTTTGTAGTTTTCTGTATTCCAGGGCTTGGTGTAATATATGACAGTGACAACTTGCTAGCAATAATGTAATAAACTAGGAGAGTTTTTATCTAAAGATACTGTGAAGCAAAATATTGTCTTCAAGGCTAAACTTAGAGGCTTTTATGCTTATGATGGGTTAGTTAAATTAGAAATAATAGTTTGGCTATAGCATGTATAATGCTACTTGAATGAAAATGTACTTATATTTTCAATTGATTAATAAATTGACAATTTAGCCTGGCTATAGATATTTAAAAAAATAATAATAATAATAATAAGATATTGATTTAACTTTATATTATTTAATTTTAAACCTTGACAATTGTTTTTTCAACTAATTTACTTCTATCAAATATTTATAAATAATAGATAATACAAAAAATTAGAATTTTTAGTTTTTACTTTAATATTGATATTATTTTTCTTGTATCCAAGACTTTTTTAACACTCAATACTTTTATACTTTCAATAATCCTTCAAATCATGATTGTATTATAATAATTGTCTTTAATTGGATCTTGAATATAATTATTCTATTTAAAGTTATCTTTTAAATATGATATTATTTTAATTCTATTTTAACGAAAGTTATATAAAGATCAATTGACTTTAAATTTATACTGTAGTTAAATAATATAAAAACCCAATCATTAATAAATGTTTCAATATCAAAAACAAAATTTTCAATTTTTATTATACTAATTAGAATTATTACTTAATTAAGTTATCCATAATGAACATTTTTATAAAAATTCATAGCTGCATTATATTTATTAAAAAAAATTTTTTTTTTTTTGAAAATGAATCAGGTTCGCCTAATTTTCAAATGCATGCAACAATCTTCTAACGGATTTGAATTTTCTAATAATTTTAGCAATTGACCTTTTCATAGAAACTTTGGAGTTACTAAGAAAAAAAAACGGTTCGAAAACGGTTTAAATTATTGATTTACCTACGGTGATTGCGTTTATCTATTTGTTTTGCCTTAAATATATTTTACAATGAGAGGACGATTTGAATGGTTAATAAACAACAAACTTCAGGGCCTTATAATCTAACCTTAAAAGTCCAGACCAAACAGTATATAAACATAGCCAATGAAGCACAGCCACTCATAGAGGATCTGGAATGGGGCTGAGATCATGAATCAAGATTGTAGACCGGAGAGTTGATAACCTGCATAGCCTTGCAGCGATCAGTTACTGTTAATCTTATTCATGCGTGAAATCTAAGATAAACCTACAGTAAGTTATTCATAGTGAATCCATGTGATGGCAATCTCATTCAGGGTGTTAATTTTGGTTTAAACCGTTTTTCTCGTTGATGTCAAAGTCGTTGGGGCCACATAACAGTTCGTTTTCTTCATTTACATTATTTTATTGAGTTTAAGGCATTTTTTTTTACAATAAGGCTGTGGTGCGCATTTTAAAATTGAAATATTAACTATAATAATTGGTATTGTCAGTTATATGAAAAATCTACTGGTTATTAAGTAAATAGCCTCTGATTCTTAAAAAAGGCACAGTCGAATTTCCTGGATTGTGAGAAATCCTTTTGAAGAAGGGAAAAAAAAAAAAAAAAGAACAAGTAAAAGGGCTTAAAAGGGTATATCAAATAAGGAAACAAATTGCACCACTCAAAAAAGATACTTTGCCTCTTTGTCAGAATATTATTAATATACACAGTTTTTTTTTTTAATGTACCACATAAAATACGAGTTTAAACGAAAAAAAATTTTTTTTGGTATATATATTTAAAGACCCTTATATAAATAATTAGACTCACATGTACGAATAAATTCATCCCTTCTCGGCGAAATTTTGTGGTTTTTTTTTTGTTCTGCATTTTCTTCTGGCAGTCTTTTCATTACTCAAAATTTCCCTTTCCCAAAAATTCGCTTTCTGCCTTTGTTGGCTTCCCTTCCCATAAACCCGCGCCTTGCCATCACTCAAAAAAGACACGACGTTTCTTTGCACTTTTTTCTTTTCTTAAAAATAACGAAAATAAAAACAAAAAGAAAAAAAAAAAAATTTTTTTTTTTTTTTTTTAATTTTTTTCACCCAACATAATGAAACAACAAAAGGAAACTGTAGGAGCTTGCTCGGTATTGGCACTCAGTCGCCAAGGTTCGATGCCGCACACAAATTATTCTTCTCCTGAAGATATTCAACGAAAATTCTTGCCTTATTACAACTCCGACAATATGAGTTATTCTACTTCAATGATAGAGCCGCTCTCAATGTCAGAGGGTAATTATTATTATTACCCACCACTGTTTTCGTTTGGCCCACCAGCTTCCAACAGTTTATCCCCTGATTCTTCTGAAACTTGCTCGGATTTGGACCTCACCGACAGTTTCACTCCGGCCTCTCCACCTTCGGATTTTACGAGTCCTTTGACAATTAAAATGGAGGCATCACATCAGGGTTCATTACATCATGACCATGACTATAATGTCGCAATGACCTTGGCTAAAGATATGCCAATGAGTCATTTGTCCCCTTATTCTACACAAGGTAATTGAAATCTATTGTTTGTTGAATGAAAGAATAATAATTGTTTCTAATAATTGATAATATTTTGATTAATTAGGACCAATGATTCCGCTGGCAGACTGCTTTTCCATGTCTGCTACTGAATCACCTTTCGTCGGTGTCATTCAGTCTCCGGTTACACAAGGGAAAATTTCAAACACAACCGCCGATCAATTGTTTGAAATGGATGCTAAGTCATTTTTTCCTCGTGAACTCACCGCCCTGGACGCCAGAGACTATTTTGGCACCGATAATTCAGCCTCGGATGCCGCGCGCCGTAAATCACTTGATGAGGCTATCTTTCTCCGCAAGATTGCTTCAACTCCTGTGAAATCCGAAGTTGCATTTCAACAGCACAATCGCCGCAAATCTTTACCTGGTGATTTGACTCAACGTCTTCATATTGAAACATTGTCGTCATCCACCAAGCAACAAAGAAAATCTACTAAATCACTCGCACCCTTCGCATGTCCTCATGAGCATTGCCCGAAAACATTTACACGGCAATATAATTTAAAGTCACATCTTCGTACCCATACAGATGAGAGACCCTTTGTCTGTAATTATCCCGGATGCCCGCGTGCATTTGCTCGACAGCACGATCTCAAACGTCATCAAAAACTGCATCTTGGACTAAAACCTCACGTGTGTGGTAACTGTGGTCGTGCCTTTGCTCGATTGGATGCCTTGAATCGCCATTTGCGAAGTGACAATGCGACACAATGCGCTCAAGCTACACTGGCCGGTTCAGCCAATAAATTGTTCAAATCAGTAAACATATAGAATAAGAAATTTCTTACGAAAATATTGTTTTAATTGTGATTAGTAGATTAGATCACTTTTTTTATTAAAAAAAAAAAAACTTAAAAAAAAAGAAAAAAAAATTTTTTTTTCACGTTTTCTTTTTCTCCTTCCCTTTTCCTCTTTCCCTTTTTTCACCCCTTACTATTTTAAATGCGATGTGATTTAACTCTTATTGCATCGTCTTTTTTTTTTCTTTTCAAATGTGTAACTGGCGTTTTTTTTTTTTTTTTTTTTTTTTTTTCTTGACAAAACTGTACATTATTCGTGTTTAGAGTTAAGATTGGATAGGGTTGTTCACATCCATCCTACAATTGATTCTAATCTTGTCAAGTCTAAATTCCACTTGTGTATATTTTTTTTTACGCCGGTTACCGCTGTACATAGTTTAACAGTGACACCAAAAGAGAGTCTTCCCTTAAAAACATGTGAATAAAAAAATAAAAAAAAAAAATTTTTTTTAAGGAAATATGATAAAGATTAAAATTTTATTTTGCTTTCATTAGTTAACGAATGATCGAATCACGTACAATCTATGCGCATACATTTGCATTCTAATACTCATGACCACGGGGACGAAAATTTTATTATAACCCGAGACGTCGATCCCCATTTGTCAGCAATGATGTTCCTATAGTCATTCAGTCATTCGACAATGAGGAATTTACATGTATGATATTGTCATTTTTGGCCGTAATATCACCAATTTTATATTTTCCATTCTATGAATAAAATTTCCGATGGATTAGTCAAAATGAATATCTTTCTCTCTCTTTTTTTTTAAGTTACTACTTTACTTTAGAAAATAGAGACCCTGAACTTTAAATCCATTTAGACAACGCGTGGTCATACTAGTCTGATATCATAATTTGGTAAACGCATTTTAAAGACTTTTGGTTGGTTCATGTGTTGTTTTGATCAACTCTAACTACATACAGTGTACAATAGATAATTGCATTTACTTATTTATATAGCATAATGAAAGTATAACCATAAAAACCAAAACTCGGACCACGCATGCATGCATAAACTAAAAAATTTCACCATCGATCTCTTTATAAAACTAATTTTTAATATTTCATGTTATAAAACTTGAAAAGGTACTTTACTTTTAAATCTCTACGTATCTACTGTATAAATAAATAAATATATATACTGTATATGCGTGCAGTATATATTTTAATTTGACTTTTTCAATTCATAATATACTGTACTTAATAAATTGACATTTTAATTCTAAAAAACAATATTCGAAATTTATATAATAAAAAGAAATTTTTATAAAAATAAAGTACATATGAATTAATAAATTTTATTATTATTATAAATAATTAAAAAAAAAATTTTTTTTTTTAAAAAAATTTTCTATCAGATTAGTTAGGTATACTCTATTAAACATTTGTAAACTATATATATACTGTACATAAAATATGATATTAAAATTAAATCTCTAATACTTTCACTTTTCTTAAGTAATTTGAAGTAACAAAAAAAATAAATATTATTCTATTTTATAGATAAATTTTATATACAAAATTTACTTATAAAAAATAGTAAAAAATATAATTTTTACTATGATAAATTTTTATAAAAAATCAATTATAAAATAAAAAAAAATTTTTTAATTTATAAAAAAATAATAATAAATTTTTATCACTGATCTTCCTTTTTCAAAAAAATTTTTCTTTTTGATAATTTCTTGAAAAAGTGAACTAGTTCAAATATACAAAAAAAAACAACATATTCTTCAAATCAAACTATCAAGTACTTTCAATACATACATAACAAAATATCAAAGAAAAAAATATATATTGTTTTATTAATTTTTTTACTTTACTTTTTTTTCTTAAAAAATTTTAAGAAGAAAGAAAAGAAATTCACAAATTGATTCACAATCAGAAAAAGAAAACAAATATTAACTTTATATAGTTTACAATTAGGTTATTGCAAGTTAACATCTTTCTTGATACCATAAGAAATCCAAGAAGTAATTAAGCTTATCTAATAAATCAAGTTACTTTAGTTACTCAAAGATTCAGAAAGATATTAAAGCTTCTAAAAAATAATATAGTCTAAACATATATACAGTATATATATATATAATTTATCTATCACATATCTTGATATACAAATACTTAAATTGTAAAAAATATATAAATAATATTTCATAAGTGAAAATAGCAAGATATCTTTGAATAAAAAAAGGAAAACATTTGAATCAATGAATATTTCATATTTAAAGAATGCAAAAAAGTCATATTATCACTTAAAAACAATTAACTGATGTACCTGAACTAGCTAAAAAATCAGGAAATTTAGAAAATAAGAGACTGTCAAATGCTTTAGCTCCTATAAAATACAAACAAAAGATCTATATCAGAATAGTTTCAAATTATAGTCAAAAATTTCTTAGAAGAATAATCAAAATAATTTATAAGATCCTGAAGAGCAAACCATATAAAATAGAAATAAGAATACTTCAAAATAAAATTCAACTAAAACAAGTAGAAAAAATTGTAAATAATAATAAAAAGTAAATAAAATCAAGTAGCTTGAGGAAAATTAAGATAAGAAAAATAGAAACACAATATAATAATAAAACATTTTATTTATTATAGTATCAACAATAATAAAAAAACTAGTCTATAAAAATACTTTGGATGTTTAGAAGGTACAATATAAAATGATAATTGCATTATAGAAAGAGAAATAGAAAAAACATATATGGTATTATATTTTAATAAAAAAAGATTCATTAGAAAAATATGCGAGTTAAAAATTTTTAATTGAAAAAAAAATCAAAGAAGTGATTTACAATAACTAAAGCTCTTTTATAATCCAAAATAATAGAATAAATCATATGGATATCAAAACTTGAAAAAAATCTATTATCAAAAAAAATATGAAGAAAAAGTATATAAAGATTACCTGATTGAAATACTCTAATATAACCTCAAATCCGAAGAAATACTAATTTTTTATTCCAATGAATCATTTATTAATTATGAAAAAGAAAAAATAAAAATAGAAGTAGCTTAGATTTATATAGAAAAAAAAAGAAAAAGAATTAAGTTTTAAATAAAAGTAAATAATTAGCCCTCATCTACAAAAACTAAATTGATAACAATTATAACAATACTTCTGGTAGTCTTAATTAAAAGTATAATTTTTATATAGATAGTTAGACATATATTTTCAAATAAAAATCTTTAAAAAAAGAAGACTCAAGAAAAATACTTGAAAGATAATTCAAAGAAAAAATTGATTTCTTTGAACATATATAGTAAAATTAATAAAAAGAAAAATATAAATCTAAAGTTCATAAAAGTTAAAATATACTTGAATAATTTCAATAATAAAGAGATAGATATCTTAGTAAAGAAAACCTTAAAATTTTTATTAATTGAATAAAAAAATCTTATCTTATACAAAATTATTATTACTGAAATTAAGTGACAAGAGCAAACTTTAAATAATTCAATTAGACAGTTTATCAATAATATTAATAATAAAACAATAGTCTTTTAGAAAATACAGTAAAATAAAATATAAAAGAAATAAAGTTATCATATTTTAAAACATTGAACTAATATATATGATTTAGTATAAAAAGAATTTAAGATAGATATATATGGAATATATCCTTCAAATAATCTCAACAAAAAAACTTTTTTATTAAATTGATCAATAATAAGTTATCTATCTTAATGTAAAAAACTTGAAATGGATATATCAAAGTCAATGAATTCTTAGATAATAAGTTTTTTTTTTTTGAGATGTTAGTTTAGCATTATTTATTATCAATAATAAAAAAATAAATTCAATCATATTAAAAATATTATAACTATTATAGATGCTATAAACTATCTAAAACCAAACAGTTTACTGGATCACTTTTTACTACTTCACAAAGGGAGGAGACTGATTTAAAGTTGTTTCTAGACTAGTGCAGAAATATAAAAAAAATATATCAAGTGCATTAGGCAAAGACCAATATTCTTTCTACTATAAACCATCAACTGAGACTAATATCAAGAAGAAATCTACACCTACTAATTATCCACCGGAGTATTGTGTCTCTTTATCTTTGGATGGAAGAAAAGTAAAGTTTCTTCTTCTAACTGGAGAGAGAAATAGTTTTAGATGCCAGCTTTGTTGATATTATCTTATCTGATACTCTGCCTAGGGAACTACATATCCGAAGACTGGACAGGACCTGCAGCTAGAGAAATACCTTAAAACTATGATGGGTTGATGATCTGATCCTAAAGATAATGCCAGTTTCAAATATAAGCTATTTATTTAAAAAAACATAACTCTTCCAAAGTTAGACTAAGTCTTTGAGGATCTTCCAATCTGGTGATCATTTCCAACTAGTACTTTTATCAAAAGTAAGATTGGTGGGTACCACTGGTGATCTATATAGTCATGCTTGAGGAAAAGTCATGTTGAAAATCTTGATATAGGTTATCAGTTTATGATTCTTCTTATTATAGGACCTGTCTTGTCTCTTGATCCTGCCATATTACTTGTTAGGGACTCAGTTTTGTGTTAAGGATACCATACCTTCTTAAGAGCTTGTTGTGTTTCTTCAGTTCTTGTGGATATGTCTGATTACTTCTATTGGTGCACGAGTTCTTTCTTCTATAAGCTTGTCCTTTTTCTCTTTTGTTCTTTTTTCATGACATAGAAGATCATTAGGAAATTTTTTTGGCAAAGATCTCCAGAGATTTTTGGGAGTAAAACTTCAGAAGCACTCCATCATCATTACAAGTCTCTGGAGTGGAGATTTATATATACAACTCCAGAGAATTTTGAATGTTTTAAATTGTAATAAAATAATTTTGTATTATTATTAAAATATTTATTTTTAAAATTTTATTTTTTAAAAATTACTTTTTTTTACATATTTTTATTAATCAATTACATTTACATCATTCATTGCTGAAATAGACTTTTCAATTCCTACATTTTTCGATTGT